CCGACTTGCCTACCTAGTTGCCCGCCCGCCAACTTATGTACCCGTCATACTAGCGCGCTGGCCTGAGATGTTCAGGCCAGATCAGTTCAGAGGGATGTTCCCCGCCTGCCGACTTGCCCTTCCGAGGACTCTCCCGCTCATCTTGCCTGCTCGCTGACTTGTCTAGCCTGCCCGCTGACTACCAAACCCATCCGTTTTCTTAGCGCCCATTCGCTCACCTTCACGCTCTCCTGCCCGTTCACCTGTCCATCAACTGTCACACTGAGACATCATCCACTAACCAGCAAGCAATCTCGTCAGCTACCCTAGCCACCGGCTGACCCACAAGAAATAAGGATGGCTCACCCAGCCGGTTAGCTTAACAGTTCGCGCTTCATTTCGCGCGTCGGTTTATCCAACTACTAATCCATCACTATCTCCACTCGCTCGTCAGCCTCTTGCTCAACGGTGCTCCATTTCGCCTACGCTTATCCTCTTCTGAGCTCCGGTCTCCACGGCTTTCCAAAGCCCTCATTGTCCGCGTTTAATTTCACGTTATTCAGCTCAGTACTCCTGTGAGCTATTTCTCTATCTCCCTCTCTTTCTCTCTGCCTATCTGTACGTCTATCTCTCAGTCTATCTTGATGGGTAAGAACACTAGACATATCAATCGCAAAGTTTATTATACATTTAATATTATTAATACTTATCAACACATGACAGGTTTCAGTAATCTTAACCCATCATCAGTGGCACTTCTGAGAGGAACGTTATCTAATCAAATTTAATTAAGAAATGTTATGAGAGAAACTTAGGTATACAAATAGATATGGATCAAATACAAAATTGAACGAAGTAAAATATGTGGAAATGGGAAACTTGTTCAAGTATCATGGATTAAAAATGGGGAAATTTATTTTTCACCATTCATTGTAACGCTGTATTCTTCGTTCTGCGCAGTACTGTGACGCACTGAATACGGGAAGTTGAGTGAGGAAATAGAAAAGTGGAGAAGCAAGTTAATGAATAGATTTTGTACGGGTTGCATTTAACATGCGCTTGTTCATTGAGACCTTTTAAATCCAGGGTTTTTAATCAATGTAAAGTTTCCAAATTTACTAAAATAATAATTTCATTACCTATATTTTCTTAACGAAATATTACCTATCTATTCTTGTCTCTATCTATCTATATACATATTTTCTATCTACCTACCTCTCTACCTATTCGCCTGTCTGTGCCTCTAACTATACATCTATCTACATATCTATCTGTATATATAGCTATCAAGCTATGTCTTCTTTAATGGCTGTCATTCTCCTACTCCGAGCACGTCCGGAGGTCAACAAATACTCTCCACCACCAAATATTCACCAGTTTCCCGTTGCACGCGCCCTAGCCCTCCCAACAGGCTTTCATAAGTACAGGCTGCGGCAGGCACGTGGCGAGCGCGCCGCCGCAAGATTCGGGAGATCACCGCACTCCGGTTCGTTCAGTCTACGAGGAATTTTCGAATGGAATTTTTCCCTCCTTAGGCAGTTTCATACCGGTTTCCGTCTGATGTTCTTTAACTAACAATTCTTCCGTCAACAAGACATGATTCTTCTGAAGGATTGTTTACGGACACTCACAATATCTACGTATCGATTTGAGAAGAAAAAGTAACCGAAATTACATTCTTACTCAGATACATTGTAAAGAGATACAGACCTGCAAACAGTGAGGGCGTTTTCAGGCCGGGACCTAAAGAAAATTTTTTCAGACGCTGCTCTGTATCGAGTTGTACAGCTGAGTACTATTTCTAATCTAAAATACTCTGATTTATTTTCGTAAAAAAGGATGAGAAAACTGAGACGTATTAGGAGAAGCATGATCTATGCGCGTTTTCTTGGAACTACAGAAACCCTACCCTACCCTACTTTCAAGAATCTACTGAGTTCATTTCATAATGTTAACTTCTTATCGTTTGAGCCCTGTATATAACTCAAAGTGTTGTAAGAGATATACTATCACAAGTTTCGATTTTTGTTTTAAAGGCAGATTCACACCGTAGATGAAAATCAAATGTTCTGTTGGTAGTCAATAGAAATACAAGAGACATATCTCACTTTTTTATATGAAATAAATCAGAA